ACAACAACAACAACAACAACAACAACAACAACAACAACAACAACAACAACAACGAAACTATCACGCTCTTTGGGGCTCCAAACATTTCGAACGGATAAGCTACCACCCAACAACAGCAACAACAACAACGATGATGATGATGATGGTGATGATAATGATGATTGCCATACTCAATGTACACTGTAGCCCATTTCATTAAGAGCAGTAGAACAGTGTATACGTGTTTCTATGTGCAAAAGAGTTACCCTACTTTTGAAACAGTTCAGCATTGCTCTCCCTCACTCATTACTTAATAATAACGAACAGTCAAATTATAATACTATCCCAACTCATAATCATTTTATTCAAGTGTCAAATTTATAACTTGTCTTGCGAACAGAGAATTAAAAATGTCAACGTAAAACATTCGGGTTTTTGTGTTCTATTCAACCATGCATAGTTTTGCCGTTGTTGACATACGAACTATAGTGCTTCTATCAAAATGTCACGAATGGTGTATTGTTAGAACCTATTCTTGTTTTTTACGCTGATACTGCAGCCATTAAAAATTTCTTAACGTTACTGCGATCTAACTTAAGGACGGACAAAATTGCAGAGAAATCCACATCTAATATTCACGACAGGGTGAATGCTTTAGTAATACTAGTAAAAGTACACCCGTTCTACGAACGGAATAATAATGAAGAAGTATTAGAAAAGTTAAGAAGAGGAAAAAGACCGAAAACAGGAAAGAAACAAAACATAAATATTTTTCCTTGAATGTATCCATATAGTAGCACCCCCTCTTGACTACCTCTAGGGGTAACACTTCTTCCCCCTCTTCGAAGGCGTGGCATTTTCTACTTGAGTTCCAGCTCAATCACTTTTTTTTTAAAGTGATAGGCCTACATGCCAATTGTTGCTTCCTAGAAGAACCTAGTCTAGATTCTAGATCTAGAATCTAGCCTAGATCTCGAAGGATTATAAAGACACAGGCCTATAATTGAAAGAAGGAGCATAAGCCCATAGATAGATCTAAGTTTAGACATTCACATTTTTAACAACCAACGATGGCCTAGATTTCTAGATCTATTCACAGCTGGAAAAATCTACTTTCAGTAATACTTTCATGATTCTTGACCTCGATCTAGATTCACTGACAGCCTAGTTCTAGACTCTAGATCTATTTACAGCAGGTAAAGATCCACGTTCAATACTTTCATCATTCTTGATCTCGATCTAAGATTAACATATAGATCTAGCCTAGATCTAGATCTTAGAATCTTTAATGCACAGTTAGAAAAATCCCCTTTCAATATTCAATAGGTAATCGAAACATCACAGATCTAGATTCTACTTTCATTTCATGATTCTTCTTGATCTCGATTTATAAATTATATCTCGATTCTAGATCTCGATTCTAAATCTCA